TTATTTCGTGAAGCACAGATGGGTCAACATTGAAAAAATGCTGAGCCAGTTTGGATTCTTTTGTGTAAGGGCGCATATTTTGTTTATTTGTTTTTTATTAGTTTTGGCACAGATTAGGCATTTGGTGAATAATTAGAACTGGGTTTCCCTGAGGACAGGAGTCTTGTCTTAGTTACCTTGTATGTATCCCACATTTAGTATAATTCTCCCCACAATACTTAGAGAACAAATGATTAAAATTCAGGCCCATTCCCAGGCTTTTGAGATCAAACATTTGGATCAATAAATATGTGACAAGCACCTTCTATGTGGCAATACTTAAATGCCCAATTCCTGGCTCCTTCCCTTAATTATCTTAAAAGCAGTGTGGGATCATTGAGGGGGAACAATGAATACGTGTTGCCCAACTGAGAAATTTTAAAAATGAGTAAGACATACGGAGGCACAATATCACCTTTATTAATAATGAAGACTAAGTCAGAGAATACATACTGATGTGAGAGCCAGTCAGGCCTGTTAATTCACCCCTAATTTGAGGCATTGCTGAAGTGGGGTGGCCCTCCCCCATGCCCAAGAAGAATGTGGGAGGAAACGAGCTCAGCAAACCCCGTTTGTTTTTCTAAATGTACTAATTAGATAAGTCACTCCTCCCCTGATCAGTGACAGAGGGAGTAAAAGCACAGAGAGACTAGACATATTATCACCAATTGAGCTTCCTCCTTGATGGAAGGAAATAGCAGAGGAGTAGATGTTCCTTTTTAAAAAATCATATTTTGGAAACAACATATATAGGTAAAATGCTAAATAATATATACGTGTATAAATATATATAATTTACTATATAATATAAAAAAACAAGGAATATCAAAGGTGAATACCTAATTAATTTCTAAATATATTTGGCACTAGTGTTTCTCAAATCTGACTGTTTATCAAAACCTGGAGGACACTATCAACAATAAAAATATATATATATAAAATGTGTCGGGGTGTGTGAGTGTGCACATTCTGAGTGTGTGTATTTGTGTATCAGCATTCCTGTAGGTCCTGGATGTTGTGGACAGTATGAGACAAGTGCAGGGGGACAGGGACCAGTTTAAATATATATATATTAGAGCCAGAGCTGCCTTTTGCCTCTCGCCTTGTAGCGTCAATTTGCATATTCCCTCCTTATTGGCTGTGGGTGTTGCTATCTTTGTTGCGCAGTTATGATCAATTTGCATATTCTGTCTTTATTATAAAGGATCCTATATAATAAAAGGCTAATATGCAAATAGACCAGACAGTGGAACAACCTGTTGTTTTGACATGCACTGACCACCAGGGGGCAGATGCTCAACACAGGAGTTGCCCCCCGATGGTCAGTGTGCTTCCACAGGGGTTGCGCTGTTTAGCTAGAAGCTGGGCTCAAGGCTGGTGAGAGCAGTGGTGGTGGCTGAAACCTCTTCTACCTCTGTGACTGCTAGGTTAGGCTGCCCCCCATGGGATCAACCCCCAAGGGCTCCTGGACAGTGAGAGGGCACAGGCCGGGCTGAGGGAAGCCCCCTCCAGTGCACGAATTTTGTGCACTGGGCCTCTAATATATATATTAAATTATTGTTATATTTTAAAAATTAATTTATTAAATATTAAATTAAATGAATATATATATTTTTAAAAACAACAACAAAACAAAACACCCAGAGGACATTAAATAAAACAGACCATTTATTTTCTCTTCCCCACCTTTAGTATGCCCAGCATGAAACCTGTGATCTGTTTTTTAATCTACCTGGGTATAATCTACCAAGTGTACAGGTAAGGCTGAAAGCCATTGCATTAGATGAGCTAGACCAGTGTTTCCCAAAGTGTGGTACGCGTACCCCCAGGGGTACGGGAAGAGTTTGGTGGGGGTATGCGTTGCACCGGAGTTTGGTGGGGATATGCACTGCACCGTGCTTAGCTGCACCTAATTCTACGTTCTCATGAGTACGAGGGGTACTCAGTGTTATGAAAATTATAGAAAGGGTACATATATGTCAAAAGTTTGGGAAATGCTGATAGACAGATGAACAGAAATTGAGAGGTTTTCTTAATTAGGAAGTGGACAGACATTGCAGGATAAGGATTGAGGTGGTGAGAAAGGAAGGGACAGAGCATTTTATTCAAGGGTGAGAACAGTTTAGTAGGAGGATTCCAGAAATAACTGTGGCTCGAGTTACATAAAATCTTATTCTTGAAAACCCTTGCAAAATTTATCGTTAGAAAAATAATCTCTGCTAATATAACAACTGACAAGACATATAGCAACACAGTTTAATAGTTGTGAGAATTTGTCCCAAACATGTCTTCATAGTTAAGGTAGTTAAGACTCATTTGTAAAGATAGGAATTCCTAAAGCAGTCTGGGGGGATGGTTGCAGTCTTCCCCAATTTCAGGAAATGGCACTGCCATTTACTTAGAAGCTTTGGATAAAAACCTGACAGCCATTTTTTATTTCTGGTGAGAACCAGTCCCCACTAATCCATCAACTAATCCTGATAATTTTCCTTTCAAAAAACATATCCTTAATTTGTCCACTGTTCACCTCATTGACTATGACCCCAATCCAAGACACCTTTTAAGTAGAGTAGAACTTGTGTTTCTAACAAGTTCTCAGATGCTGCTGATTCTGTTGGTCCAGAGACCATTCTTTGAAAAGCACTTCTTTAGAGCAATGGTTTCTCAACCATGGATTCACAACAGAATCACCTGATCTTTTAAAGACAACTGAGCTTGCGCCTGACCTCCACTGATTCTGATTTATTTGGGCTGGCCATTTGTAATTTTTAAATCTCTGTGGGTGACTCCAAATGTACATCCAGGGCTGAGATACACTACCAAGGCTAAGCTTGTTTGTTCCTCGTGACTTTTGCACTAGTTGCTCCCATTACCTGGTGTATTCTTCCTCTTAGATCTTTCCATGGCTGAATCCTTCCTGTCATTTAGGTCTCAGATTAAATGTCTGAGACACTTTGTCAGGCAGGCTTTCCTTGATCCTCTAATCTAAAACAACACCCCTGTATCACATCGTCTTGCTTGTTTTCAATATAGGAATCAGCAGTTCCTGAGATTTCTTTATTTACACTCATTGTTCCAACTATAATAATAATCTTGAGCATAAACACCTTTGCTTGTCTTACTGACTGCTGTACCCCTGGCACTTACAACAGTGGTTGGCATCTGTGAGGGTATTCAACATATGTGAAGAATAGAGAGAAAAGCCTTTAAAATAATTTCTTCCACTTCTTTTTTTTTCAACTCTTCAACTAGGTTTTAATAAATTGTGTTTTATTTATGCATTAGAATCGAACCATCTATTAAAAAGGCATCAATTGATTAAAAAATACATCTTAGTTGCACAGGGCTCATTCTCTCCTCATAGAAAATAGTGTTAAATCTTCTGCAAAGTCATTATCCTTTAATACTTTCATATATAGTATGGATTTGTTCATAATACTGTTGTATAGGAAATTCACAAACATTTTCAAAAATATCCTGACATGGTGAGGATATATTTAATAAATCCAGGGATTGCTGCATAGATTCTGTCTGCCCCCCTTTTTTTTTTTTTTCTTTTTTTTTTTTTGAGAGAGAGAGAGAGAGAGAGAGAAGAGGGTAAAGGAATTTGAAGAATGGAAAGGTATTGCAGGGAGCAAGAGAGTCACAGGCAAGCATGAAGGCTATATCTGGTTCTTTCTAAAAGTGCTCTACACATTTATTCTCCCTTTTGGGAGCACCTCCTTAATGAATGAGTGTAATCTGGCGGAATTGAAGACTTTTTAATTTCAGGAGAAGACAGAAAATTTGCGATTATGAAAATGTCCTGTTTCATAGTGGTTTGTTCAAGCCGGTGCGGCTAAATCTTCAGTTGTGGGTCACCTGTCACTTGGTCTCAAGGGAGCAGCATGGATTAAACTGACAACTGAGGTGAATTAAGGGCAAAGCAGATGTCCTTAAGTCCACCGCGGACCATTTCTAAAATACACTATCTTTGGAAACATACAACATCTGTTCCAGGGAGAAAAGGGAGATTCCGTGCCCGAGGCCGGTGTCTCTGGCAGGGATGTGAGTACTTGCTCAAAAGTCCCAAGTGCACAACCAGCGCCCCCAGCTATAAAGCTAGGTTCACGGGCAACCAGTTTTTCAGGCAGCTGCCACCCCTTCCTTTCCTCTCCGTGCTTCGTCAATCATGGTTTTCAACAAAACGGCTTTGTATGTGGAGTAATGGTTGAACTAACTCTGGCGCTTTGGCACAGACCACTGCGCGGGTATAGGGAATACAAAACCCGCAGTCTGAAGACAGAGGTTGTGGCTTGAGAAAAAGCAAAGGCAGAGAGGGGGAAAGAGGGAGGGAGAAGCAAAGCTGCGGAGTCGGTGGTGTGTTCTGGGAGTTGTAGTCCACATGGGGCAGTTTTCTCCAGGCTCCACCGGGCTCCGGACTTCATCTCCCAGTCGCCCCTGCGCCACGGAGGAGGCCAGGGGTGGGGACTACGGGGGCTGAGCTGCCGCACGGGGGAGGGGGCCGGGGGCTGGGAAGCAGCTGTTAGCGGCTGCCGGGAGACGTTATCCGCCGTTCGTTAGGGCCGACGACACCCTCGGGAGGGCGGCGACGAGGGCCGTGCGACCGCCGTGCGTCCCCGCGCCTGTCCTCTCCTCCCACCGGCGCGCGTGGTGTCCGCCATGGAAGCGCATCCGGTCGCCGCCGCCGGGGTCTCCCGGCTCCGCGTCCCAGGCTCCCGGGAGCGATGAGGGGGTAGAGGCATTCCGCGACACGCCTCCGCCCGCGCTCGCCGCGGCGTGAAGGAGGGTCGGCCGGGTTGGCCCGCCGGCCGCGGTGTGTGCCCGCGCCGCCCCGCCTCGCCCCCTGGGGGCGCCCGCCTCCCATGCCGCCGCGGCGCCGCTGAAGCCCGGGACCCGCCCGCCGGCCGCGCGCGCCCCCCGCCCCGCCGCCCCGAGCCGGCCGCCCCTCCGCCCCCAGGATGTGGCACAACGTGGGGCTGACGCTGCTGGTGGTCGTGGCCACGCTGCTGTTCGTGCTGCTGCTGATGGTGTGCGGTGAGTGAGCGGGCACCGCCGCGGGGCAGCGGCACGCTGCGGCGCACACGCCAGCGCGCCTCGTGTTGCTGACTGGCTTGCTCTGTCTGGTTAAAAAAAAAAAAAAAAAAAAAAAAAAAATTAAGGCGTGAATGAACAAGTGTCCTAAAATCATCTGTTGTCCAGTTTCGGCTCAGGAATGAGCCCAGCGGCGCTGTACCCCTGACCTGTGGCAGCCGCTGGCATCCTGGGGAGGGAGAGAACAGGACCCGGGTCTGGGCATCTTCTCTCGGGTTAAACCAGATATTGCTTCACCGGCAGCGTCTGCTCTTGATTGCCATTCTTACCACACTCTGCCCAGATTTTAACCTTGGCCTGTATTCGAAGGTGAAGTGATTGGTTACTCCTTTTTTTCTTTTTTAACAGATTCTGACCCTAAAGATAAAGAGAGGTTTCGCTACCTTCATTCAATCAGGAATAGGATCAGAGTTGGGTTTGAAGCACTTGAGAAATTGTTTGTTTACTTGCGAGTTCAGGTTTAAACTAAATTCCAAACAGAACTGTTGAGACTAGACAGAACTTAAAAACACTGGCTATATTAAACTCCCAGGGTCGGGTAACCCAACTCTTAGTTCTGTAATAATGGTGCTGTTTTGTTTGCTGTGAGTTTTTTCCTTCTTGGAAGGACTGGACATAAAACTTTCTTCTCAAGGTACTGTTAGCTCAGTTTTAGATCTTTTTGAGTTTTTTTTTTTTTTTTCCCCACACACAGTAATTGATAACTACAAATATCTTAGCAGAGTGGCTCAACAACTGAAAACTTGGGAAGTATTTCAATGTCATCGAGTTTATTTTTTCATAATTGCATTGAAGTATGGGTTCAGATTAATGCAATAATTGGTCAGAATTCAAAAATACTATAGGGTGTATTCATTACATGAAAAATGTAGAGTTGGGTTTGAAGAGGATATGGATGTGTTTGTGCATATGCATATATATATTTGTATTTACATTCTTGTATGTATAATTTTTAATTTTCTTGCTTTACTAAGGAACCAAAGTTTCTAATTTACAGCCTTTCTTTTCTGATGATAAAACAATTGAAAAGACTTTTTTTTTTAATTTCCTGCTTTTGAAGTCAAGATTTTGGGCTGGTTGGACGTGTTTAGGATACTTGAAGTAAGGAAAACCACACCTTTGTTATTTGTTTGGATATGAAGAAGAAAGAAAGCATACACTTCCTTTTCCAATTTGAAAATGCAGGCTACCTGGAGATGGCAGTGAAACATATAGATGTGTGATATGTGACAACACCCTTGGTAGAATATTTGCCAAACTTGTCTTTGGGACGTTAAAATTCCTAATTGCTACAAATATCAGACTTTCTCTTGAGACTGACTAGTAAGCCCAAGACAAATGAAATAGGGAAACAGTTAAAAAAACCTTGATGCCTAGCAGTTTGTAGACATCTAGAAGATCATGTTTTCCCTAAACCAAGGACACTTAAGAGTAAATAGTTTGCATTTCTAATGCCCAAATAGAGGGTAAATAGCTTAAATCACCCTACTCAAGGAGACAGATAGTGGAAATCCAATTAGTGCTACTTGCCAACCACACCCAAGGACAGATGAAGTTAAGAGAATAAACCTCATTTTGGTACATCAGCATTAATCTGATGAATATACTATTGAGACCCTCCCCTAAGATTGTCCTTAAGCACCCAGACTTTTCTTTTTTTAATTTAAATTCTTTTTTATTTAAAAAAATTGTTTATTGTTTAAAGTATTATTTACATATGTCTCCTTTTCCCCACATTGACCTCTCCCCAGCTGTTCCCACCCCCACAACACATGCCCTCACCTCCCTACTCTGTGTCCATGGGTTATGCTTATATGCATGCATATAAGTCTTTGGTTGATCTCTTACACCTCCTCCCACCTTCCCTCTGAGGTTCAATGGTCTATTCGATGCTTCTATGTCTCTGGATCTATTTATTTTCATTCATCAGTTTATGTTGTTCGTTAAGTTCCACAAATGAGTGAGATCACGTGATATTTATCTTTCTCTGACTGGCAAATTTTGCTTAGCATAATGCTTTTCAGGTCCATCCATTCTTACCATTTACCATGCAAATGGTAAGAAGTCCTTTTTGATAGCAGCCTAGTATTCCATTGTGTAGATGTCCCACAGTTTTTTAATCCACTCATCTGCAGATGGGCACTTAGGCTGTTTCCAAATCTTAGCTATTGTAAATTGTGCTGCTATGAACATAAATGTGTAAATATTCTTTCTGATTGGTGTTTCTGATTTCTGGGGATGTATTTCTAGAAGTGGGATTATTGGGTTAAATGAGAGTTCCATTTTTAATTTTTTGAGGAAATTTCATACCGTTTTCCGCAGTGGCTGAACCAGTCTGCATTCCCACCAGAAGTGCACAAGGGTTCCTTTTTCTCCACATCCTTGCCAGCACTTGCCATTTTTTTTGATTTGTTGATGATAGCCATCCTGACAGGTGTGAAATGGTATCACATTGTTGTTTTGATTTGCATCTCTTGTATGATTAGTGACTTTATGCATGTTTTCATATGTTCCTTGGCCTTTGTATGGCCTTTTTTGAAAAGTATCTGTTTATGTCCTTTGCCCATTTTTTGATTGGGTTATCTTACTTTTGTTAAGATGTAGGCGTTCCCTATAAATTTTGGAGACTAAACCCTTAACAGATATAACATTGACAATATGTTTTGCCATGCAGTGGGCTCTCTTGTTGTTTTGTTGATGATTTCTTTTACAGTGCAGAAGTTTATTTTTATGTAGTCCTATTTGTTTATTTTCTCCTTAGTTTCCATTGTCCTGGAGTATTCAATTGGAGCTGTAAGTGGTAAAGATATTGCTACAACATATGTTTGATATTTTGCTGCCTATGGATTCTTCTAAGACTTTAATGGTTTCCCGTCTTACATTCAAGTCTTTTATCTATTTTGAGTTTATTTTTGTGTATGGTGTAAGTTGATGGTCTAGTTTTATTTTTTTGCATGTATCTGTCCAAATTTCCCAACACCATTTATTGAAGAGACTGTCTTGACTCCATTGTATGCTCTTGCCTCCTTTGTCAAATATTAATTGAGCATAATGGCTTGGGTCGATTTATGGGTTCTCTGTTCTGTTCCATTGGTCTGTATGTCTGTTCTTTTGTCAGGCAGTTTTGAGAACAGTGGCTTTGAAATATAGCTTGATATCTGGTATTTAAAAAATATATATTTTCTTATTATTTTTTATGAGAGGAAGGGAGAGGGACAGAGAGCTAGAAACATCGATGAGAGAGAATCATCGATCAGCTGCCTCCTGCTCACCCACTACTGGGGATGTGCCCGCAACCAAGGTACATGCCCTTGATTGGAATTGAACCAGGGGTCCGTCAGTCCGCAGTCCGACACTCTATCCGCTGAGCCAAACCCATTTTGGCGATATCTAGTATTGTTATCCCTCCAACTTTGTTTTTCTTTCTTAGGATTGGTGCAGCTATATATATATATATATTTTTTTTTTATCCCAGATGAATTTTTGGAAAGTTTGTTCTACATCTGTGAAATATGCCATTGGTATTTTAATGGGAATTGCATTGAATCTGTAGATTGCTTTGCGTAGTGTGGACATTTTTATGATGTTGATTCTACCAATCCATGAACATGGCACATTCTTCAACTAGTTTATATTTTCCTCTATCTCTTTTTTTCAGTGTCCTGTAGTTTTCAGAATACAGGTGTTTTACCTCCTTAGTTAAGTTTATTCCTAGGTATCTTAATTTTTTGTGTGCAATGGTAAGTGGAATTATTTTTTTAGTTTCTCTTTCTGTAAGTTTATTATTGGTATATAAAAATGCTGTAGATTTCTGGGTGTTAATTTTGTATCCTCCTATGTTGCCAAATTCATTTATTTAATCCAGTAGTTTTTTGATGGAGTCATTAGGTTTTTATTTATTTTTTATTTTTTATGTACAATATCATGTCACCTGAGAATAATGACAGTATTACTTCTTCTTTTCCAATTTGGATACCTTTTGTTTAATCTTCTTATCTGATTGCTGTGGCTAGCACTTCCAGTTCTGTTTCTAACAGGAGTGGTGAAAGTGGGCATCTCTGTTTGTTCCTGTTCTTAGGGAAATGGTTTTAGTATTTGTCTGTTGAGTATGATGTTGGCTATAGGTTTGTCATATAAGGCTTTTATTGTGTTGAGGAATGATCCCTTTTTTATTCAATCATCTTTTGTCTTTCAATTGGAGTATTTAATAAATTTACATTTAAGGTAATTATTTATAGTTACTTGTTTGTTGCCATTTTTCTTTACACATGTATTCCTTCTTCCCTTTCTATTTCTTCTTTTTACAACAGTCTCTTTAGCATTTCTTGCATTGATCGTTGGTGGTAATAAACTCCCTTATCCTTTTTTTTTTTTTGTCTTTTTTTTTTTTTTTTTTTTTTTTTTTTTTTTTGTCTGTGAAGCTCCTGCTTTCATCTTTTAATTCATAGCTTTGCTGGGTATAGAGTATGCTTGGATTCAGTCCCTTGCTTTGTATTACTTTGTATATTTCATTCCATTCCCTTCTGGCCTCATGTGTTTCTGTTGAGAAATCATTTGATAGTGTAATGAGAGATCCCTTGTAGGTAACTTTCTGTCTCTTGCATCCCTTAAGATTCTTTTTTTAAAAAATATATTTTATTGATTTTTTTATAGAGAGGAAGGGAGAGAGAGAGAGAGCTAGAAACGTCGATGAGAGAAGAACATCGACCAGCTGCCTCTTGCACATCCGCTATCGGGGTTGTACCTGCAACCAACGTACATGCCCCTGACTGGAATCGAACCTGGGACCTTTCAGTCCGCAGACCGACGCTCTACCACTGAGCCAAACTGGTTTCGGCTCCCTTAAGATTCTTTCTTTGTCATTAACATTAGCCATTGTAATATTGTGTTTTGTATGGATCCTTTGGGTTCATCTTGTTTGGGGCTCTCTGTGCCTATGTGAT